AAAAAAAAAAAAAAAAAAAAAAGAGTTAGTATCTTTAAATTCAGCTTACAAACACTGCAGGAAGCTTCTTTCCTTGTATACTTTCCAAGTAGTCAGTTTTCATCTGGAAATACAGTAGCATATTTAGAAAAGCTACAGTATAAAAATGGTATCTTTAACATAGTTATTCCTAAACTAGATTTTCAGGTCCCAGGTTGAGTTTCTAGCATTAGCGTCTAGAGAAGGAGAAAACCAAAATAATTTTTCTTGTAACAAAGACAGCTTTTTTCCTGCCTAGTTGGGCTCCCTCCCATTCTTTTTAAAGGTAATTGAGGTATTCAGTACTTTTCAGGATTAGACCTTCGGTCTTACCGGCTCAAGTTTGTTCTTTAGCTAAACTATATAGTTGATTAAAACAGAAGAAAAAGGCCAAAAAAAAAAAAGATATTTAAAAACACCCTGTTCCTTATTTTGACTTCTGCAATGCTCCCTATGCTAATTACTTTAAAATTCAGGTTCTGAGCACTTCAGGAAGTGTCCCCCCCCCATTTCAGTGGGATTTTTGTTTCTATACACAGAGCTGAATACAGCTGAAATTACAGAGACAATTATCATTGTCTCAATTATCATGATTGTTGAGACATACATCAGTATAACTGTCTAGTTCTAGGCACCTAATTTTGTCAGACAAACGGGATGCTAATATTGATAATCTTATGTGACAAGCACTCTAACAACAGTGTGTGTGTGTGTGCGCGCACGTGCACACGTGTGCGTATTACTATGCCTGCAATATAGATATATACATACACACATGCAATGATAAGGGGAAAGAGAGAACTCATATATTTCATACTCACTTAAAAGTTTTCAGTGCTAAAGGGTACTCTCCAGTAGCAAGTGAGTGTCAGAAAGTAGTGCTCGTCTGTGCTGTGTTTAGACTGACCATGGTTTAGATTGGCTCTGTGCCACTCGGCTCAGTTCCAGGCCTTCCCTGTGTGAGGAAACCACACATGTTGGAGCTACAAGGATTTGAAGTGTGTCCTTTGTGCTCTTTGGAATAGGAGTCATCTGAAAAAATATATTGTACTATAGGTGGCCATTATGGATAGCAGTAATAAATTAGAATATTAAATTTCTTTGTGCAAATGATTCAGCTACTAATGACTTTAAGAAAGGATGCTTTAAGGATATTATGCTTCAGGGTCCTGAGATGGGCGCAAGGGGTTTGAAAACCAGAAGGAAAGTTTGTGTAACTAATGCATGGTTTTCATTCTTTTTAAACAAAAATAAATATGAACTGTGCTGAGCATTATGTATTGAGTAGATCTGGGGCTGTCTGCTGAGCCTTTTATTCGGTTTCAGGGGATAATTTTATTATAGCAGTGCTGTTACCCCTAAATGGCTCGATCTGAATATTGCCATATATAGTCTCTGAATCCCCTTTTGGATACCTATTCACTTGTCAAATACTACTTTAGAGTCTGACCGTACACATTACAGCATTTCTGGAAGAGCATTTAAAGGAACCTCAAAAGTAGGGATCCTTTTCTCCCTTTAAGAATATCTTTTAACAACTGCCTTCTTGCAGCATAGGATATATGTGAATGTGACAAACCAAAATACTGGGAAACATTTAGGTACTGGGAAATTCAGGGTATTATTTTTATATATAATTTATAACTTGTATTCTTTTATTTCCTGAGGCATCATGATTTTAGCACCTGGGGGGGGCAGGTTAATGTTGAGTCTACAGTTCCTTCAATGATTATAACTTTTACTCAGATTAGTTTATATAATTGTGGATGTTGCTTGAAAACTCGCATTCATTACTATGACAACTGGGACTTACTTGAAGAAATTCCCCAGCTTTCAGTGCAGTACGTGCAGAGTATAATCCCCTACCCCAGCAATAATTTCCATTGTATGTTGGAGGGAAAAATCTCTAAATTTACTAGGAATGAAAACCATTAAAATTTGGAATGTTTTATTCAGATTTTATACATAAAATTGTAGTTACATATAGAACATAATAAGGAATGGTAAATGTCTTTCTGTAGCAGGGACAGAATATTCTGTGTCATTTTAACTGATGCAAATCTATGTTAAGGTTTTTTGCCACCCTCCATAGAGATTTTCTGTAGAAGAGCAGACAAATATGTATCCCAGTGGTTTTTATTCAAAGAACCAAAACATGTGACAAATAGTGCAAACTGTGACACACAAGGAAACCTGTGATACTTTTCTGTGCAAAACACGGAGACTGATAGTAAAATGATCAGAAGAAAGCTTAAAAGAACAGGTTGCTCCAGTGTTCCAGCTACAAACAGCATACACGATGACTTGCATGTTATAACTGAGATAGCATGAGGGTGACAAAACAGCAGGGTTTTGCACAGAACTAAGGGCATGGCTATGCTTCCTACAAGCATGAAGAGGTGGGAAAAGAGCCTCTATAGAGATCTGACATCCAGAGTTCCTGCTGAAATGATGACTTCAGTACTTGTATTTACTGAATTGCTAATAATTTGTTATTAACTTTCTATAACACTTTCTATAAAACGTTGTATTATTTTAAATCTAAATCTATATATATATATCTCTCTATATATTTTTAAATTAAAAATGTATTTTGATCAGCCCTATAGATTTTTCTTTTAAAGGTAACATAGGAAAGTGGTGCTTACAAACAACAGCCCTCAGCAGTACAAGCAGGGTTTCACGCTAGCATGATTATCACTGAGCAATCCGCAGTGAGACCCACCCATCTCAGCAGAAATAGGAATGCTATCGAAGGCTTACAAACCCTTGAAATGCTGCCAACCTGCAGGAGCTGTCAGTGCTAGAAGACACATCCACATGTGGGCCAAGGAGATAAACACATCAGATCCCATCTAGCTGCTTTGGAGCAAGCTGTTTTGATCTGCCATGATGTGCACTGACACCGAGATGCATGTTTTTGATGTTTAGGGTGCCTTTAATCTGCAGTTATTTTTTTGTCAATACTGTGTGCATTTTTAAAGGTATCATGTGGATTGATAATCTTTTGACTTGACTCTTTCCATTTTTGGAAAGACCTCAACGCACATGTTGCTAGTAAAAACAAACAAACAGCCCCCCCTCCCCCTGCAAACAACCATACGCACACATGGTAATGGCCCATTTTTTCTGAGACAATTTTTTTATTTAAATCAGGGGAATTATATCTAAATCTGGACTGAACTGGGCTTGTACACCATGGGTGTTTTGCTAGACAAATAATGAGGCTTTGGTTCTGTTATGAACCTTGAGGTGCATACACACAGCCTGATGTGCCTGTTTGGGCCCTTATACCCACTAAGGTTGTGTTTTGTCCTGGCCACATACATAAGCCCAGTTTCATGTGTTACAGAAACGTGTATAAAGTTTTTCTACCTCTTGGGCAGAGCCAGGGTTCGTTGTATCAGTAAGGATAGAAGGCTTCACAGTACCAAAGATCAGAAGACTCAATTGGGAAAGTTTCTAAGAAAACATTTCAAGGACTTTGGATACAGAGGCTATGACAAAATCCTGAGAGGTAGCAAAACTGTCCTGGGTCACTTTGCTTTCTTATGAATCCTTTTTAATATAGAAGGGCCTGAGAAGAAAATTGGAACCAGGGCATTATTTGAAGCATGGATTCACCTTTCCCAACAGGTAGGTTAGCTTGTTAGCTTGCCAGTCCCAACATACATAAGATGAGTGATGGTTCTTTAGAGAAGGGAAACAGGATCATTGTTAAGATCACATCTCTTAGAGACATTGGTTCCACATATATTGAATTTCCCTTCCACCCCAGTGCATTGCATGGGGGAATGATTTCATCTGTTGTTCAAATTCAGCTACCTTTATGGTGAAAGGCAGCAACCTTTAAACCCTGCATAGCAACACAAAAGCAACAGATCAGGATAATACATAAAGAATGTCTTATCTAAGTAGAGTGACAGTGGAATTTTAGGTTGAAGAGAA